CGGTATTCAGAAATCATCACAATTGATAAACTATTGATGACACTATCTTGAAGAGCAAGCGAGTAAAATGCGCGCTGGATTTTTAATCCGCTAATCGCGATCGCAGTTTACTTCATTGTCGCCATCTCATGAAGATTGTATCTCAAAGGACAAGCTTTTGTTCAGACTTTCATATTGATTTCCCAATGTAGAATCTTATCCCGCACGTTTCTCGGTTCGGAGACACCCTGTACATTTGTATCGTCCAGATAAAATTGAGTTGGCGCCAGGACTTGATCTGGATGATCACCTATATGATTTTATCTAGATCAGAGCAAGTTCCGCCCGCGACCCTCGGCGGCTCCCGACGACGACGACGGAAGGAAGAGTCGTCCCTTTTCCATCCCGGGCGAAAGCTGGCGTTTTTCGCGCCGCTCGTCAACGAGCGGCGGATAATATCGCATGAGGGTTGCGCAACGATTCCCGGCGCGTGTGCGCGTCCTCCTCCAGCCGCCGCGATCCGTCGCGTTATTTATAGTCGAGCTTGCAGCGCACGAGTCCGCCGACTCGTCGCGGGCATTTACGGATTGCATAATGATCCCGATACTCCCCGCTCCGTGTTTAGGCTTCTCGGAGGGAAAAGCGGAGAAGAATCTGGCGTAACGACTGAGAGACCGAGTCGGGCGATGCGAGAGAGTGGAAAACGCGGCCGCGCGCGTCGCCGCGCGCTACTCAACTCCCACAGCCGCGGCTCTCTCTCTCTCTCTCTCTCTCTCTCTCTCTCTCTCTCTCTCTCTCTCTCTCTCTCTCTCTCTCTCTCTCTCTCTCGGCGCACTCCATACGTCGCCAAGTTAAAAGCATCAAGACAATTATTTCTGGAACAATGGAATTCCGCGCGGCGTGTCGCAATTTGCGATTACAATTGCACGCATACACGCGCGAATAATATCCATACAATGCTCGATACGTGCGAGCGGCTAACGTTCGCATGCGGCTTTTTAATATAATGCCCAGGAACAGAGAAAGAGAGAGAGAGAGAGAGAGAGAGAGAGAGAGGAGGAGAGAGAGAGCAATAATAATGCTTTGTCCAGACGAAGAAATTGACGGAGAAGGCTCTCTTTTTGCGCGTAGTACGCGGCATCAAGCACCGAGTCGATCGAGTGCGTGTGTACGCGCTCGAGACGAAGGGAGGAAGAGAGAGGGAGAGAAAAAAGAGGAGAAAGACGGCGAAACAAGCAACGGTAATCGCGAGCGTATCCGTGCGTTTGCACTCTGATCGAGAAAAAAATATGCGGTCGAGGAACTTTCCAAATTTCCCGGTACAAGCCGGAACGGATGGTCTCGCAAGATTCCGCTAAAACTTCCCTCAGCCCTCCCTCACTTGCAGATAAATTTCAGAAAAGGAGAGAAAAAGAGAGAAAGAGAGAGAGAGAGAGAGAAAGACAGCTCGCGCTAAAGAAGTAAAGCGATATCGCTACGTCCATACTAAAAGCGCGATGTGTCCATAAGCACGTAATCGCTGGGACCGAGGGGGAGGGATGAGACGAACGATCGAAGAAGAACCCGTATCTGTGAGGAAAATCCGATTTGCAAGAAGCTGTGAAACTCGGCGGGCGCGCGATGGTCGCGCGGCGGGTAATCGAGGATCGATAAGTTGGAATCGCGATACGCGAAAGCCTCGCTCGCGCGCGTATCGATTCGCCGTATTCCCGCCATTATGTAAGCTTCGCATTCTATTTTTTCGTCCTCTCGTTCCCTCCCCGTGCGAGATTGTGCATCACCTGTCGCGATGACGACGCGAGCTCATGGATCTCTCTCTCTCTCTCTCCCCCCCCCTCTCTCTCCGTCGCTCTCTCGTCGAAGGTGTCGGAGCGAAGCGGCGACGATGTCACGGCAGACCGACGTGCTTTTTACGGGACGACGACGCGCGACGACGGGATATTACACATCCGCCGATATCGCCGGAAGCGGCTGAGCTTGAAATAATTAAATCATGTTCTTACGCGCCAACGCCGGGCGCGAAGCCAATCAACTTGTGTTTCAAGCCGCTCCCCGACGCGGCGCGGAGAACAAAAGGAAAACGTCACCGTGCTCCGAGACCGTCTCGAGGCTGGAAGGATTTTCAATGGGCGCGACGGAGAGAACGAGACACAGAGAAAGAAACAGAGAGAGAGAGAGAGAGAGAGAGAGAGAGAGAGAGAGAGAGAAACTCGGTAATGATTACAGTGTGACCATACACACAGCGCAGCGCGATCATTATTTCCTAAAGTTTCACGGGAAAAGTTCACGCTCGTAAAGAGCGGAAAAGAAGACAAGGGAGAGGGGAGAAGGAGAGGAACCCGCTCAAGCGAATACACGCGCGCGTCAATTGTCTCCGTCGGGAGACGGATAAGGCGAGCGGCGGCGGCAGCGCCGCCCGCCGCCCGGGAAGTGTTATCGCAGCATTACGTAAATCGCGCTAGAGTGTTTTCGCTCAATAGCGCGCACGCGCGCGCGCGTCAGCAAATAGAGCATCGGCAAGTACACAACGGGGCATTGATACGCGCGCGAATATAATGGTGGAATATTCAGCGATAATATTTCAACGGCGCGAGCGGTTCGACCGCGCAGCCGTAATTATTCGCCGCGCTATCGTTATTTAACTAGATGTATCACTGGCCATAAAACGATCCCGCGCTCGTAACTCACTCGATATTTTACGCGCGCGTGACAAATAGATTTTTCTCTTCAGCGTAGGATACGCGCGCGCGCGCGCGCGCGCGATATTCGGACAATCGCCCGCCGATACGGCGATTCGGCTTTAATGCGTCGCGATTAATGACACGCGACTCGGAAGTGCATTCGCGAAACGGTCGTTCGTTCGTGCGACGTCAATTTTAACGGCGGTACATGTAGCCGTTATGGGCGACCACTCGACGCGCGGAATCGATAATCGAATAAAATTAATTTCAAAACAAACCGCTGCAGGCTGAAGCCGCGCGCGCGCGCGCGCGGGCACCATGCCTGCGGGCATAAAACGGGCTGAATTCAGAATCACCATAAATTAACTAGCCGCTAGTTATCTCGAAAATGACTACCTCGCCGCCGTATCGGCACATCGTATGCGCTACGCGAAGGCGTTACCGGCGTGTCGCACGGTGTTAATTATGCAAATGAATCGGCGATCGCTAGGCCGAATTAACATCACCGTAGAACGCGGAGAGATGTATCGTGGGACAATCTCGCTTTCTCTCTCTCTCTCTCTCTCTCTCTCTCTCTCTCTCTCTCTCTCTCTCTCTCTCTCTCTCTCTCTCTCTCTCTCTCTCTCTCTCTCTTTCCCTCGCTCTCTCCCGCGAGCGAGGACGCGGCGGCAAGACGCGTTAAGCAAGCAACCACACGACGCATGATTTCGTGTCGATGGCGTCACCACGCCAACCGGCGCATCGGGAGATGTATGTTTGCAGAAAAAAGACTGAGCTCACTATACAGCGGCGTATGATCGCGGACAGAGCGCGGTTGTTGGTAATTTTTTGCGCCAGTTTCAAATCGTCTCACCACTCAATCAGGAGGAGCCTCCCGTCGAGAAACGAGCCGCGTTCACCCTGGACTGGCCTAGACGGCTTTTCCAAAAATCGACCTTTCCTTTCAAAAATCGCTTCATTCCGGTTTCACTTTTGTACAAAGCGATTCTTTCGAACGCGTACCTCACCTTGAATTCTTCATCACGACGAAGCGACATTGGTGAAGAGAAGCGTATCAACACGGACCGATTAACAGAATCGGTTAAAAAAAGAAAAGAAAAAAGGAATTAAATAAATTCGCTGTTCCAAAAATCGAATCAAGAACTCTCGTCACTGACATAGACTGCAAATTACACAGATATAAAAAATGACCCGACTACCACGGACCTTCGATCTTCGTCTGTGGTTTGAGTGACAATAGCTTCTCGCTAATGACGAGACAAAGGCAACACGCTCGTCGACAATGGCAGAGAACATAGTTGTAAACCCGTCGTAAGGCGCAGCCTACGTACGCGAATCTGTCCAAGATATAAAGTAGCGCGCACCGTGTGAAGTCGGCTTTAGCCTTGTGTCAGCTGTTCGACACGCGTCGCCGTCCCAAGCCGAAAGTTGGCGCGAACGCGGCCGGCTTGAACAATGACGGGACGTGCTCGCCTGATTCTCCGAGCGACGTCGCGGAAATTCACCGTCCAACTTCACGTGCACGTCTATCGGACGCGATGATAACGTAAAACGCATTAATGCGCTCGCCGAGCGTCCGGGCCGAGCGCCTTCCGAATGCGGAACGAAGCGCGCTCACGTGCGCGTTTTCTTCGTTTTCCTCTTCCCTCTTCCCTTTCCCGCGCGCGCGCGCGCGCGCGAGCAAGAGAGAGACAGAACCGTCCAGCTGTTACATGTTAATGTTACTTAACGACTTACAAATAAATTGCCGGCGATATCGTGACTCACTCGGTGACGGGTGTCACCGAGTGGCGGAGTCCTTGAGGAAAGTGTTCGCACCTGCGAGAGAACGCTCGCCGATGCGCGCGGCCGAGCGTTATCGTCCAGGAGAATCGCGCTCAGCCGGGCTCTGAGAGAACGTTTCACCGAGGATGAGTCAGTACGAGAGGCCGATCTCTTTCGCGAGATTGCATTTTCTAGCGCGATCGCGGCTCCGATAATCCGCCGTAGGAAAGAAGAGAAACTCACACCGCGTCGCCTCACGTTAACGTATTAATCATCCAGTGTGAACCAGATACGCGTTCATCTCCGCCGATAGACCAGAGACCGCTGTTCTCTTACGCAACTTCTCTTCCCGCATGCTCGGCACACGTATGTCCGCGGCCGCGCATGCGGACGTCGGAATTGAACGGCTAATAACGCCGAGTATCCTCCGCGCTTTCCGCCCACTTCGACGGCCGCGGCGCGCTTTCTTTCCGCCGCTCGAGGGCGCGCGCGCGCGATTTATGTTCCGAAGGAACATCGCGTGATTCGAGCAGAGTCGAGCCGGCGACTCGGAAATACAATGATTTGCTGACTCACCTTTTTCGACGTGTAGAGCTTCCGGCCTTGCAGCAACATGTACGTCTTCTTCCAGGTGCTGGAGCCCTCGTGCCGCATCCACACCAGGCTGAAGACCTGCGGGCACTCGCCGTCCTCGCGCGACAGATAATTCTGCAATGAGACAGCGACGCGGATTTTCCGTTAGCCGGCGTCTTTTCCATTCGTGGCCATCACCGTCGGCCGTTCATCATGCCAACTCACCCTTAGCGCAGCCTCCACGTTGCTGAAGATGCCCCTGTCTTCGCCGCTGGGAAACGCGACCATGTCGGCGGGGAAGAATTGCTGCAAAACGACCAGAGAGAGGGGCCTCCTTTGTATTTATTTTCTCACTTAATGTATCATCAAATTTGCAATACGGTTTGTTGAGAAATTTATACAAAGTGACTCTTTTAAAAGCTTCTCTTGCATTTTATATGACTACCTGAAATATTTCAGAGGAAATGCATAGTTAAAAAAAAAAAAAAAAAAAAAAAACTGAACACCTTCTCGAATAATGTATTTCTTTCGAGACACTTCAGGTAGGCATTTAAAACGAGTCACCGTATATATCGCATATCTTATCGCGTAATTTGTTTGAAAATTTCGAAATATTGCAAGGAAATGGTTGCTCCCAAGATACGCGTGAAAGAAACGAGAAAGTAATTTCGCAAATATTACGAGAAGAGAATCTCAAGGGATGCGCGTATCGAGAAGGGAACCGCTTAAAAATCAGTTTAGAGACCTCAACGGAACGAATAAAAAGAGAGAATCTATCACTTCGGAAAGAGAGCGAATCGGGACTTCGTCGTCCCGCCGGAGGATTACGACGTTTAGAGTTGCCGAAGTTTCCGCGCTCGTTATCCTTTAATTGGCCAATCATTGGCGAGCGGGGGCTAAGTTATGGGACTTACGAAACCACGGCTGACTGATTTCAAATCGTTAATTGATATCGATTCGACTACATTCATTAGCGCCCAACTAACTAGTTCCAAATGCATACCCGGGCAAACCGGGTATCCTTTTCTACATTTCCGGCGATTCTCATTTCCCGCAAAAAGAAGGAACGTACCGACAGCGATTGGCGAGACCTCCTCCAACGTCGTCGTCTTTCGCGTAATCACGCACGTACGAGGCGTCAATATTGAAACGGAGCTACGCGGCCGATCCTGCAAGAACACGGACGTGTTCAATCAATACCGCGAATCCTCGACATCCCATCGCGGCTTCTGATCACAAGGAAGTTGCGCGCCATCTTATAATCCGCCCGTGCTTCTCGACCACCGGCAAACGACCTACGTGGATCGTCGGTAAACGCGGAATCTGCAGGTGGAATCTCTCCCTAGGTACTCGCACTACCCACCGCGATTCACGCGCAACGGACAGTATTGCTGTACCTCTTCAAGGTATCGCAACTCGACGAGAACTCGTCAGTCGGTAAGTTACCATTCACAGTTTGGTCGAAACCGTTTATCGGACCATTCGCGGTTGCAAAACTACCGGAGAACGCAGGAGTCCTCCTCGGAATCTTTACCCGTGGCTTTTTGTGGTACTTGAATGAGCTACTCCGGCGAGACGATGAACTTATTAAGTGACTTCTTGCCTTACCTTAGGATTGACGAATAGTTCGTACTTCAAGAAGTCCTCGCTGAAGTAGAACCGCCTCTCGTGGCCTGAGGCGAACATTTCCAGTTCTCTGTGAACTGCGAGGATGTCTTCGTGGTCTTCTAACGTGCGTTCTGCAAACAATCGATTCATCCCGATTACCGTAAATGTGACTGCTGCCGGAAACATATTTTATATATGCTCGACGATTTTTAAATATTTATTAACTCTTATTAATTTCAGAAATATTATCTGGTATTCCATAATATCGTCAATCTTGAAAGAAAAATCAAGTTTCTCGAAAATAATTTTGAGAGCAAAAACTCAAGGGTGTAATTTTTTATTGGCCAAGTTTTTAAAACTCACGAGGAAAATTTGTTGAGTAATATAAAATTTTTATTAAACAACGTGCAAAGCGAGATATATCGATATCGAGTTTATATACTGCAACAGTTATTTAATAATTTGTTCAAGTATCCTTTCTATTTAACCTTTATTTTTAAGCAATAACACATGGAAATTTATATCATATGTAAAATAGTTTTCCCATAAAGTCTCAATTAGTGAGAAAATTCTAATTTGTGACAATTGCACCCATTTTCCACAAATTCATTAACCCGTCCTGAACATATCTTCTTGCCGCAAATTTTATATGTTATCGGTTATAACACAAATTTCAACTAAAATTAAATTTCTATTTGTTAAATCTGTGCAGAACCGTTCTTTAATTTTTTCGAAACCAAACTATTAATAAAAAAAACCAAAACTAAACTCTTTCAGTTAGAAAAATATAATCTAATTAAAACTCCAAATATTCAAGCTATCCAAACAAAATCAATTTTGTATACCTCGTCTAAACACGTGCATTATTAATTTATTACATTGTTTTCATAATGAGCTACTTGGTCGCTAATTGGGATACACACATACATTCATTTTATCACTCAATATTTCAAAAAATATTTCAAATAATATGATGTGTTTCCAAAGAATCTGACTATACTATCCTAACCGGACAAGCTAGTACGGTACTTTGTATTTCGCACGAATGTCAACAATTTGCGGAATAATTATCCGTATGCGAGATTATACCTACGTGCCGCGAATCATCTGGTCAATCCGAAAGGTCATTTCGCGGAAAGCACATTAAACTAAAATAGCGCGCGGGACGTTCGCCCAGGAGCTTCAAACAAACATTTCAATACGAAGACACGGCCGTGCGAATCGTCGTCTCTGACCTGCACCAAACTCCTGGAGGTTCGCCCGCTATTGATTCTCGGCTGCATTATAGAGTCTTGCCTCTCTCTCTCTCTCACTCTCTGCTCTCCTTCTCCCCTCTCCCTCGCCCTACGCCACCGTTGTGCACACGTTATTTCCGATTTCGTCCCGAGTCAATGCCGCGAAGAAAATTTCGACGACTAAAGTTCCGGGCGCATTAAAGTCTCACCGCGTCGTTTCTCTGCGAAGCGACACGCCAAACACGACAAACTTACCGAGTTATCCGCTTCTTCTCTCTCTCTCTCTCTCTCTCTCTCTCTCTCTCTCTCTCTCTCTCTCTCTCTCTCTCTCTCCCTCCCTCTCTCTCTCTTCCGCGCGCGCGCGCCGATATTTTATAAATAAATTGTCTGCCCGCGGAGAACCCGAAGAGTCGCAACTTGATAAGATCGCGTTCGCCTGAGCTCTTTCACGTAGTTATCGTAGGCGCATTATTCCGAAAATATCCGTCGGTTTTCTCGCTCGAGTCTATTTTCCGTCGTCTATGTCGCGGAAAAGCCGATAACAGCCCGCATACTAAATCGAACGCTTAATTCCGCGAACCCCGTCCATCATGTTCGATTTGGTTGTTCGGCTTGTTTTGAATATATGGATTCCCCCCGAGCCTGTGGCGAATGTAAATAAACGTTTTGCAGACTACCGAACTTTCGAAGTAACGTTTCACGTTGTTCTAAAAGTACATGTGCTCTCTCTCTCTCCCTCTCTCTCTCTCTCTGCTTGCGGGCGAAACTATCTATTATCTACTTGGGCGAGTGGTCGCATGAAATAGGACAATCGCAGACAGTCTTTGAAAGTACGGTCGATGACACGTTGCCACTCGCGTGACCATGACGGAGAAATGTGTATACTTGAGAACTATTGATTGATTTTTATCTACATTCTCGATCCGAGAGAACATACGGGTACAATACGGGTCGCAGAAAAGGTGAGAGAGAGAGAGAGAGAGAGAGAGAGAGAGAGAGAGAGAGAGATGAGGAGATAATAAATACCGCTCTCAACAATCACGATGTGATGTTTACGATAATCACATACCGATTCCCAGGTCCGGCCATGTCTCGATTATCGACCAGGCGGCGCCAATCGCGTTCCTCTTGACTTTGAGCAGCTCGCACAAGTCGATCGTCCGCAGATTTTTTTCCACAACCACGGTGGTCCAGGTATGATCACCGTTGTAGAAGCGCAGTTCTTCCTGTAAACGGAAATATATGCTCCGAATAATTTCTTAATGTGACGTGTATCTCTTATTTCTATCTTCTAGCTAGATCTCTTCGTAAAAATGATCCTAAAACGTAGAACTCGGTCAGGACTAAGATGTACACACTTGAAATAATATTATTCTTTAATTATATTATTCTTACGAAGGATGAAAAAATCAGATATTTCAAACTTAAATATGTATTTATGTATTCGCGGTATAATTGATGTATTCACATCAATCAAGATCTTTAGATGTATTCATTTCTGATAATATTCAGAAGCATTTTTCACCAAATTTCACGAGAATCATCGAGGAGTAAATCTTTCCGGACTACGTCCAAGTGTCTTTCTTTCGCTACGTCTTCGCTTTATAATAATTCTCACAAATAAATTACAATATATTTATATCTCGACGAGTTTCCTTTCTTGAATATCCATGTACAATTATAGCGCGCGACACAATTGAGAGATACGAGAGGCGTGATTGTTCTCCCGAGCACAAGATAACACGTACCTGTCTTTCGCTATCCAGCATGTCCTGGTCGCGATGCCGGTTTCTTCTTCGAGTCCTCTGCATCGTGCTGCTAAGCTCGAAGATCGTGGGACCGGAACCGAGTCGTTCGTAGCTTCCGACCCGACCGGAAGGTCGATTGCCCGGCAGCGTGGAGCTGCCGTCGATGCAGGAGCACATCTTCGGGAACCAATCTGCAAGGGACCAATCGGCAAGTTAGAAAAATCTCGAGTGCGTCGCGGCTGACAAATAAGAGACGGCAAAAAGGACGACACGACTATAAAGTAAAATCGTACAAAATGGTCAATCCGGTAAAAATCGCTAAGTCTACTATATACAGTGATATATATATATATATATATACACATATTTACATATATATATATATACATATTTACACACACACACATATATATATATATATGCGTGTATGTATATATGTATGTATGTATGTAGTGTGAATATACGTATGTATGTATCTGCAAAAAGAGGCGTATAAGAGCGAGCCCGCTGTACTAGAATCTATTTTACAACTTGGGCTTCACACGGGGCGGACTACGTCGGGATGGATGATAGAGCCACTACATTGTCGGTGAGTGAACGTGGCCCCCGTCACTTAGAGAGAGAGAGAGAGAGAGAGAGAGAGAGAGAGAGAGAGAGAGAGAGAGAGAGAGAGAGAGAGAGAGAGAGAGAGAGAGAGAGAGAGAGAGAGAGAGAGAGAGAGAGAGAGAGAGAGAGAGAGAGACAAAGGAGGAACGTAAAAAGAGTGTGTCAAACAGTGAGAGAGGTGTAAAAACGTGACGTCGTGCTGGAAACCGCGGGCGTACGCAATCTCAGGCGCGCTTTCGTGGAATGCAGTAACTCCATGTCGGAGAGATTGAGGCGCAGGTATTGTAATGACACTACGCGTGCTGCGGACGACGACCAAGAGGTGAGAGAGTACGCGCGTGCATCGCGTGCGTGTGGCGCTCGACGGCGACGAGGAGTTTGACACGTAGCTCTGCTCGCGACGGCGCAGTTCCTTGTGATTTGCGCCTCGCAAGCTCGCCTTTTCTTCGCCTTCGTACGTACTTCGTTTCTCGCCGCGCGTCGTTCATTCGTCTCTCTCTTTGTGCAAACCGACGGAACACACACACGCGCGCGCGCGCGCGCGCGAGGTGTACATTCAAGGTGGAGCCGCGGGGACAGTCGTGAGACAGTCATTTTGCGAGCGCGGTTAACGAGGAAGCCAGCAAAAATATCGCTAATCTGAGGAATAGCGGCAGGCAGTATCCCGTGCGGACTAGAGGCGGCGCTTTAATAGGCCATGCGCAGGTCAAGTTTCTAATATAAACCGCCGGCCGATCGAGTATCTCGAGGCGGCGGCGGCGGCGGCGTCGGATGAATCCCGGTCTACCTCGATCTACCTCCCTCCAAGAGACCCCCTACGTCTTTCGCTCCACTCGTCCGTGATCCGCCGCCATATCGGCGTAATTTGCACAAATCGATCGACTTTTATTATATTATAAGCAAAACACGAGGAAACGGGATTCCACGTAATCACCCCGTTGAAACGCGCGTTGCGCCATCGAGATTCTCTGCATAAACTTCCGGCGGATCGAAGATTCGACGAATGAAACATTTATTTCTCTGCTCCAACGACGCTTTGATAAATAATATATAATGTAATAATATTATTTAATGTGCGGAATGTACTTGCTCTAGCAAAATGAGAAGGAGAGGAGGAGACGGCCCTCTGCCTGCCTGCCTGCCTGCCTGCCTGTCTCATCCACACATCTCGAGATATCCTTAAAATAAATATATCTTCGACTTGAAGAAAACTTGATTTCAGATGCTTAGCTTTGACGAAATTTCATTGTTTCTTCCGTAGCAGTTAAAAATCGTCGCAAGCGTGGATTGACGAATGAGGAGCGAAGGATGAATATAAACTCTGCGCGCTCAACGCGAACGAGAAGCGAATCACCCCCGCGGCCGTCTCCAAAAAGTCTCTACGATATAAACTTCCAACAAAAAATTAATTTAACATTCAAGCGCGCACATTCGTCTCGTTTGAAGACGCGAGAGAAATGCGAAGAAAAGGAGCGTAACTTTCCTTTCTCCGCGTGACTCGGCGTGATATCCACGACACCACGTCTCTTGAGATCGCCGAGCAATTCGAGCGTTTCGTCGAAGCTTCGTTTCATCCTCGATCAGCATCTTCTCCCAGCAGTGCCTCTCACCGCACGGTGTTTACGTGGAATCCCAAATTCGATTCTCACCGATACTCCCGCTGGTTCGTCCGCGCGACCTAATCGAAGGACACTCCGGCTAGCTCGAGCGCGCAAAAGTCCCCGTGGCCGCGTCGCGTGGACACACTCGGGGAAGCGGCGAATGGCGAATTCCTTAATAACCGCTCGTCCAGGACCACAACGACGCACTAGCCGAGCTCTCGCACGCGTTGTGCGAGTGCGTCAAGTGCGTTAAGTGGAATGCGCGAATTAACGGCCGTCTCTTGTTTGCTCTCCCCGTGCGAGCCAGACGAGCGAACGAGTGCGCGCAGGAGAAGAGAGGAGGAAGCAGCGTCACGTGACCTGCTGCACGGGTCCAAAGTGACCGATTTTAGATACTAGTCCATGTGGACGATCTTCGCGCCGGTCGTCCTCTCGTCACATTCGCGATTCGCGCGATCGACCGCGACGACGCGCGCTCGATGTACCACACGAGAATAGAACTCGCGGGAGAGAAATGCGTCTGGAGCGCGTGCACGCGCACTCGGGGGGGCAGGATGCTTCGCGGACATTGTGTGTGGCGACGAAAATACGACGCGGCGACTGGTGGACAACGGCGACTTTTTCGCGACTTGACCGTCGCGTACTCGGAGCTCGACCACAGCAAAATATTTCAGAAGCGGCGAACGGGCTGAGCGCACAAACACACGCACGTGGAGTATTATCAAAATGCCTGATAAGAATCCACACGAAGAGAGAGAGAGAGAGAGAGAGAGAGAGAGAGAGAGAGGGAAGGGAGGGAGGGGAGAGTGATAGAAGAGAAATCTGTTGTAATCGCGTGAGAACTCGCGGTCACCGCTGCGACTGCTCAAGCTACTGTCGATGTTTCAACTCGATATCGCGAAAGTGAGACGCGATAAGCAATGCAAATAGCCTGTCGAGTTATTCTACGATTTCCGTATTATCGCCGATAACGCTCGTAGTGAGCCCATGACGTGGCAGCCAGCGCCGGCAGGTTCCAACGGCACGCGTTTGACCTTCGTCGTCGAGACGAATTCGGCCGAGCAACACGAGGAGCTTCATTTCGCTAGTCGATGAATTACAGCGGATTTTTATCGAGTGTATCAATTCCTCATGCGCTGAAATGTCGCGAAAGTCGAGTCCCCCGACTCAACTCGATCGCGCTCCTCCCTCTCTCTCTCTCTCTCTCTCCCTCTCTCTCTCTCTCTCTCTCTCTCTCTCTCTCTCCTTGCCAGTGTCGCTTCGCCGACTTCTATGTCGCAATTGACAGTGAAACGCGCCGCATTTGCATGGACAGGTTTCAGGCTCAATGCTGCGACAGTAGTAGGTAACACGTGATAACTCGACTTCTGCGCAGCCCGATCATTGACGAAGGAGTCCCCGCTACGTTGTCGTAGATCATGGAGAACGCATGGAGGTAAGCCTAATCAGCGGAGCGATAACGGAAACGAGCGCGACGGCCAGGCTTCCTCGAATTAACGAACGACGTTGACTGTTTATTGCGGCAATTAAATCACATTCGCAATCGCCCGGCATGCGGCAGCACGTAAACGCGCCAAGCGAAGCGCGCACGAGACGTCGGGCCCGAATAAAATTCCGCGGCGAATCCAGAGAAGCGAGAAACGCACCCGCCGTGCACACGATCGCCACGGTAGAAGAATGTCTCTTTCGTTCGTACTTTTAATTCACCGACTAGTCTGACCAAGGCCGAGGTTCCTCGTCGCGGTTCTCCGAACGACGACGACGACGACGACGACGACGACGGCAACGAAGTGTAGAAAACCGCCGGCGGCAGGATGGAGCATCCATTCTCCTTGGTTCCAAGATGCGCGAGGAAAGGTGTGCAATTTTCATATCATATAACGTCACGCAGTCGACGAGACTCGCAGCCGCGACCGCTGTCAGCCTTGACCTACTCGCATCTTTGCCTACTAACATACTATTTCGTTCTGTTTCACCGTTCCGCCGCGCCTCGTAACGACCCGCCGCCGGTTGTCACATCGTATCCGTGTCCTGGCTTCGGTCCTCTGGATGCGTTTCGAGGAGCGCCGCAGCGCGCGCGAGAGCAACGTTAACGAGGCGTACCGTGGTCCTGTTACATTCAGGACTCCTGTTATCGTTACGATCGGCTCTTATCTCTCGGTACGATTTTGTTCGCACATGCGACGAACCCGCGACTGATTAAATTAAATACGACGCGCGTGCATTTCGTCAACGACGGCAGGTTTGCCCAACAAAATTTTGCCAGTCTGCCTGGTTAGTCGAGTAAAAAAGCTCGACACAGTTTTGGCCTCTGTATTGTTACGATTGTATTATTTTTCGAGAAATAAACCATTCACGGTCAATTTTCTAAATAACATACACTGTAAGAAATGATGTGTTAAATTTAACATATTTCATGTGTCTCAAATCATCCACTCTCATTTGTGTGTTAATTCAACATAAAGCAAATATGTTAAAAAATAACGCACATAATATGTAAAAAATTAATACAAAAACTTAACATTTGAATGCCGTCAAGAATCACAGTTTGTGTTGAATTAACATACAATGAATGTTAATTTAACATTTGGGAAAAGTAATGATCTATGATTTAATGAAATGAAAATGTTAGATTGACATAATCTATGTGTTAGAACTCCAATCTTCACATACCAGAAATGTTAACATTATACATTTAACACATGGTAACTATTATAATGAGGAAAGTAACACATTTTAGGTGTTGACTTCAACATATAAAATGTCATAGCAAGAATTCATGCATTTACATGTAAATTGTGTTATTCGAAAGTAGACAATCTTAATTTAACACAAGAAAGTAGTCTAGGTAACACAACAACATGTTAAATTAACACACGACTGTGTAAAAAATTTAACACAAAACTTTCAACACACAAATAATTTTAACAAAAGTACGAAATGTTTTTAACTGTGTATTGTTTGAACAGGAGACATGACGAAAC